TTTTTTTTTTTTTTTTTTTTTTTGGCGGAAACAGAGATTGAACACAGGCTCTTGTGCTTGCCAGGCAAGTGTTTATTCTACTGAGCCATCTCCCTGGCCCCTTGAGCTTCATTCTTAGCGCATCTGGAGCTGTGTGCTGTAGTGGTTGGAGTGCATGTGTTCATGTCTCCCTTTCTGTCTCTGCATTCTTACCCCTAGGAAACCCAGGTTGACAAGAACTCAAAGTGCCTTTTCTCCGGTCTCCTTCAGCCCCCTGTTCACAGGTAAGAGTATGTTTTCCTTTTGTCTGACCTCTGAAAGCAGAAGTGTTCTAAGAGTCAGGCCTTTTAGCAATATTGGTAGCCTCATTTTCTTAACTGGGAAGGGTTCAAATATCGGCTGATGGGCTCTTTAGCCCTGGGTAAGAAAATGGTATTGGAAAGAACTCTCTAAGGGCTCAGGTAGAGAAATCCTGGGCTCTGACTTGCGTATCAGACCTGCCAAGATGAACATAAAACAGGCCATCAGTGTCTTAACAAAATGCTTTTGATCAACTCTCTGGAGACTCGCCCGTCTGCAGTCATTTCTTTCATTCTATGTCGTTTGGGTTTTAGGTGAGGCAGTTTTTCGGACGCAGAGAGATATCCCTGCCTTGAGATGCTTTAGCTGGGGTGCTGAGGGCTGCTTGTTGGTAATTGCGCAGCCCTGGCAGTTATAAGTGCTTAGTTCAGGGTCATCTCATATAAATTAAAAGTAGGAGTTACAAATTTATAGGCTCACTATGCATAAATGACTCTTGAAGTCATATAGCTCCTGTCCCTGCTTCCAAGGGAGTTCATAGGTTATCTAATAAAAATGATCCATGTACATGGGGTCTATTTTTAAAGACTTTGGGCAAAGGGGATTACCCATTTTAGGGGCTAGCAGTTCTTGCAGCTGTTAGGGCTCTTCGTGGTATCTAATTTAAGCTGTTCCTCTTGCAGCAGGGAATGCAATGGATAGCAGAGGCAAGCTGCCCATTGCCCTCTGTGCAGTGGGTGGCTGCTTCCCCCCAGCAGTAGTATTGGGGACTGAGCTGCATGTCAGACACATGCTGGGCAGGTGCTCGCCGCTGACTGCACCCCCAGCCCTGCTTATGCTATGGGTAACTTTCTTAGCGAAGACGAGTTTCTCTGGGTGGAATGTGAAGCTGATTGAATAAGCCATAGGAAAGGGGTCTTTCCCACACTGCCCCAAGTCTCAGAAACTGAGCACTCTCACTGGTTGTGACTGAGAAGCTTTTTTTAAAAAATCCCAGTGTCACAGGGCATGATAGTGCTCACCTGTAATCCCAGCACTCAGGAGGCTGAGGCAGGAGGA